GGAAAGGCCCTAGGACGTCCACTCCCACTCTTTCCATTGGGGCCCCCACCAGGTACTGCTGAAGGGGGGCAGTGGAGCATTGAGTTGGGCCCTTCTGTGCCGTGCAGGTGTCACAGCAGTGCACATGAAGTTCCACATCCCGTCAACAGCCAGGGCAGTAGAACCGTCCCCTGAGACGGCGGTGAGTTTTGGCATTCCCATAGTGGCCGGCCCCACTGAGCCGTGGACAAGCTCGAGCATCTGCGACCACAGCGACCGAGGCACCAACAGCTGCAGGAGATCTCTGCCCTGACCGGGGGCCCGCCATCTCCGGTACAGGAGGCCGTCGTGGGTCTCCAGGTTGTTGTACTGGAAGTAGTAGGCCTTCACTTCGGGCTCCTGTCCTGACACCCCCGTCCAGTCTGGGCGTTGCGCTGCCTCCAGCCAGGCCCCCACCTGAACCAACGTCGCGTCAGCCTCCTGCTCCCGCTTCAGCTGCTGCGTGGTCAATGGGAGCCATCCCCCTCTGCTGACCGCGGCTTGAGCAGTAGCCATCCCCAGTGCCTCCTCGGCCCGCTCCTCCTGTTGCAGACAGTAGCGGCACTCGAAGGCCATGCAGGGCCGTCTGGAGAGGGCATCAGCGTTTCCATGCTGTCGACCTGCCCGATGCTGGATCTCAAAGTCGTAGCCCTGAAGGACCTCCAACCAGCGGGCCACCTGACCTTCTGCGTGTTTGAAGTTCAGGAGCCAAGTCAGAGATGCATGGTCAGTGCGCAGGAGAAACCGACAGCCGTGCAGGTATGGCTGGAAGTGCCGCACCGCCAGCACTACGGCCAGCAGCTCCTGCCGAGTCACGCAGTAGTTCCTCTCGGCTCGCCCCAGAGCACAACTGAAGTACGCCACCACCCATTCTCCAGCCTCGTCCTGCTGGGAAAGGACCGCCCCGACTCCTACATTGCTAGCATCAGTGTCCACAATGAAAGGTTGCCGGGCGTTGGGGTAGGCCAGGACTGGGGCTCTGGTGAGGGCCTCCTCCAGCTGTGCAAAAGCCGCAGCACAGGCATCCCCCCAGCCAAACAGCTGTCCCTTGTCAGTCAGGCGGTGGAGGGGGCTGGCCATCGTCGCGAACCCCTTGATGAATCGACGGTAGTAGGAGGCTAGGCCCAGGAAGCTCCGCAGTTCTTTGACGTTCGAGGGAGTCGGCCAGTCCCGGACCGCAGCCACCTTTGCGGAGTCGGTGGCGATACCTTGAGCGCTGATCACATGGCCAAAGAACGTGGTCTCTCTCGCCAACAGCCGGCACTTCACAGGGTTGAGCCGCAGCCCAGCTCGTCGGATGGCACTGAAGACCTCGCTCAGGTGAGACAGTGCACTGTCGAAGTCACCACCGTGCACCAACAGGTCATCCAGGTACGCAACACAGCGGCTACGAGGTATGTTCACGAGCACCCTCTCCATCAGCCTCTCAAACGTCGCTGGCGCATTGCAGAGCCCAAATGGCATGACCCTGAACTGCCACAGCCCCTGTCCAATGGTGAATGCAGTCTTAGGCCTTGCTTCGGGGGCTAGCTCCACCTGCCAGTAACCGCTGCATAGGTCGAGGGAGCTGAACCAGCTGGAGCTGGTAACGTAATCTAGGGCCTCGTCGATCCGCGGAAGCGGGTACGAGTCCTTCTTGGTGACTGCATTGAGACGGCGAAAGTCCATGCAGAACCTCGGGCTGCCATCCTTCTTCCCCACCAGAACCACAGGTGCCGCCCATGGGCTATTGGACGGCTCGATCACCCCAGCCGCAGCCATCTCACGGATCTTCTCTTCCGCTACCTGCCGTTTTGAGAGGGGCAGCCGGTGTGGGCGCAGACGGATGGGCTGAGCAGAGCCGTGTCGATGGTGTGCTGGACCAGACTCGTCTGCCTACAGTCTTTGTCACTGGCGGCAAAGATGTCCACATTCTCGTCCAGGAGGCACCTCAACCACTGGCGCTGGTCGACGTTGAGGCCTACGCTGCTGCGCTGCCAAAGGTCATCAACAGCCTCGATGGTCTCGGTCGAGGGAGGTTTGTCGGGCTGAGAGGCTGAGGTGAGTGGAGATGACCCAGAGCCACCGGCATCCGAAATCTGCTGAGCGGCAGCTACCCGACGCCTGTCTCGTCTGGTCCCCTCCGCTCCTTGCTTTTGGCCGTGCTGGAGGGCAAAAGTCTCTGCGCCAAGAGTGATAGCCAGCTTTGCGGTGTCAACGCAGGCCCCCCAGCAGGTCAGCAGATCAAGGCCGATGATGCACTGGTCCTGAATGTCAGCAAGCCAGAAGTCGTGCACCAGCTCCAGATCCTTCACTTGGATCCGCAACGGTTTCTTCCCCCGCATGTCAGTTCTCTCCCCCGTCACTGTCATCAGCTGGGTGTCGGTGGGTGACCAACCCTTCACAAGCGGCCCGGACGTTCCAGGGAGCACACCAGGTCGTATTAGGGAAATGGCAGACCCCATGTCCACCAGGGCCCAGCATGGCTGGTCCTCAACACAGAAGCTCAGGTAGAGTCCCTTGAGGTGCCCGACTCGGCCCACCACCGTGCATCGTCCTTGGAGGGGGGCAGGAAGTTGGAGCGGTGGTCCCCTCGCTACACCGCTTCCTCCCTGTTTCCCTGAGGCTGTGTAGTTCTGGTCTTCGGGGCAGGTGCTGGGCAGTCACGCGCCACGTGGCCAGGCTCATTGCACCGGTAGCAGCGGTTGGTCGGTTGACGAGGACGCCTCCGGGGCACCGAGGGTTGCAGCTGGCATATCTCCGCTACCTCCCCCCCCGTCGCAGTCTGCGGCTCTGATTTGGGGGTAGTTTGGGGGGGGCACCTGCTGGTTAGGTCGCGAGGTGAGCATCAGCTCGGTCCTTTCAGCCTCAAGGAGCACCTCACGGAGAGTTTGAGGCATGGCCAGGCGGACGTGTTGGCGTAGTCGCTCTGGAAAAAGTCCTCGCAGAAAAGCATGCAAGCTAAGCTCCTCACAGGCTGCTGCTGGGAACTCCAGGTAGCCACGACGAGCATACAGCAACACATCCGCTGCAAAGGCACCCAGGCTCTCCCCCCGGCCGACGGCTCCGGTTGGTCAGCTGCTCCCTGCTTTGATCAGTGGAGTGCCGCTGCCCGAATCGCCTCTCGAGTGCCATGGTTAGGGCCTGGAGCTCATGCTGCTCTGCCGGGGCTAGGTCCAGGAGTACCTGCAGTGCATCTCCTTCCAATGCTAGTGCTAGGTGTGTGGCAGCCTCTTTGTCGCTCCAGCCACTATGCCTCGCGGCTAGCCGGACTTGTGAGAGGTAGGGCTCTAGCGGGGTTAGCCCGTTGTATTTCGGTACCTTAGCTGGCGTGGTAGGCATAACTGCTCGCGGTTGGGGGCTCGACGTGTGGGTCGACAGAGGTAGCCCATGAGGCATTGCCCTAGCGTCAGTCGCGACGGGCCGCGGCCACGGTGCGCTTGCGCCGTCGGGACCCGTCGGGGGACTTACATGGCCGCTCGCTTCCTCTCTCTTCAATCGCCAGCTTCCCAAGCAGCGAATGCTCTCCTCGACGGCTTGCTCCAGCCTCCGAATGTCTCTCTCCATTACGGCGAGGGTGAGCAATCCCACTTCTGACACCAATGTGACAAGCTCAGACAAGGAGGAGACGGTATCGTTTGGTCTTGCTTCCCGTGAGCTAGCCAGGGAGCACAGCCGTTTATTAACACAGGCAGACCAGCACACCACAACAACAACAAAAAAAGGCGCTCTCTCACCCGGAAACACACAGTCGCAGAGAGAGCGTCACCTGTAACCATGGTAACAGAACAACAAAACATAACTGTCAAAACAAAATCCCGAACAGTCCTGACCCGCTACAATATGTTAAATATGTTTCTTTAAGCAAGTTCTTCATGACTGAGCCAAGTGTCCTCTTTTTTGGAAATCAAAATATGGTCACCCTGATTTAGATAAGATTTTAAGGTTTCTGTGGATATTACACATGGTGATATTTGCATAAAAGGCTTGACATCATGGGTTACATAACTCTTAAGCTGGGGTGGTGTAGTTTAATCTGTCAGCAGAATTCTTTCTACCAGTTTTCAAATCATACTGGCTGAGGTTAAAGGCAAATCATTCACGGGACTTTAGCTTTAACCCTGATCAGCACTAATAGAACAGACAATACTGAGTCTGACAACAAGCCATGAATAACACACACAGTAAATTAAATGGAAAACAAAGGAGCCGAATACTGACATGTTTAAGATGATCTAACCCACATGCTTTATCTGCTGGCAGCTCATGTAGAGCTTGGTACAGGTCATGTGACATCATGAGCTTTGAGTCATCACTCTCAGCATCATCCACCTGATACAGATCACTCTGAACACACTTCAGTCATTTGCTGTAATGTTTCTGTCATAATTCTGTGATATTGTCTGTTTCACAGATTCCTTCTACAGTGAGATATTTTGCACCAAAACTAAAAACCTTTGAAGTATATTTTAAATGAACAATAACAGCAGCTGTTATTTGTGACGTCTTCTTCTAGCGTCCATCTGTAGTCAGTGTTTCTCTTGTATTTGTCAGAGCTGTTAACCTGCCTGCTGACATCTTTGTTTCTTTATTAACTATATTTGACTTTTTATCTGAACACCTACCTGAGCACCAAACAAAGAGTCTTAACTGTGTAAATCCTGTCTGTGCACCAAGTAAAAATAATCAGTACAAACAGAAACATGAGTTTAAATATCCAAGTAAAATTATTCAAAGATAAAACATTAAAAATCTAATATATGTCTTTTCTTTTTCATGTTATCACACATGAGAAATAAGAAAAGGAATCAGAGAAATTCAGTTTGGTTTGATCACAGAGAGAAAGGAAAATATTCAGTTCAGTTCTTCTTTTGTAAATCATATTGATGTACACTGATCTCAATGGTCGTCATGGAAATAAGATTTTAATGGTCTAAATGCTGGTGAATAAAAATGATGACCTAACATGAGCTCATTGAAAGGACAGAGAGAAACAAACTGACCTGCAGACCAGACAAACTTTGGTTGACTGTGATCAGTGTGATACTCTGGGTCTCCTCTTCCAGCTCTGCACACATATCCTGCTGTGTGTGTCTGTCCATGAATGATGTAGGAGTCCTGTGCAGTCCCACTGCCATCAGGTAGCAGCTCATAACTGGAGGATTTCTCTGATAGATCAGGAACAGCTTTATACCAGTAGAAGCTCCATCCTGCAGACGGATGTTCAACCTCACAGTTCAGAGTTACTGAGGCTCCAGGACTCAGCCATGATGGAGACACAGTGAGGACAGGACGGGGTTCATCTGTCCAACAAAGATTTTCTCTCAGTGAACATGTAGTACAGTCTCTGAACAGTGAGCTCAGTTCATACAAAGAATAATAATCTCAGTCTATATGAACAGAAACACATTTTACAAAGTGTTCAAACATCTTAAAGGAAATATGACAGCAAGCAGGAGAAACCTGAGTGAGGGGAAGAGATTCAACAAGAGAGCAAGTTGTGATTAGATGCATTTTTATTTCCAGTCTTTGACAGTGATGGTGTCCAACTTCAGTCCCTGTGGATAAAATCTGTTTGATGCAGTTTGAATGAGGATTTGGTGAGTCACAGTTGGTTTTCTTTGGTGTCAGTTAGCATGCTATGTGCTTGTGTTCTTTACTAAATCTGCTGTTAAAGCCTCTGATAGCTAAGATGAGACCTAGTAAGTGTGTTTTATATTCTTTTGCTGTGGAAGCTGACATTTCCTGCTGATGTGCACAGATGTCTTTAGGCCACACTAATAAGCATGGTGAACTTCACCGCTGCCATTACAGGGAGCAGTTTGGATGTGATTTCCAGCTGAGCTGTTAGGAATGCTGGAATAAGACTTCAGTGTTTGTGTTGCACAACAGGCCAGGTTAATTAGCCGAGTGCAGATCTTGGCGTTGAAACCTGATACTGCTGAACCTTAATGATCCACGTCTAGGAGATCTGAACTTCCACTGAAATCTTCTGTTCCTAATAATAATGTATACTTTATTGATCCCCATGGGGAAACTCCTCTCTGCATTTAACCCATTCACTCAGTGAAGCAGTGGGCAGCCACTGGGCGCCCGGGGAGCAGTGTGTAGGGATGGTACCTTGCTCAGGAGTACCTCAGGGTAGCCGTTCAGTGGATTAGAACCCCCGACCTTAAGACCTTAACAAAACCCCTGGATTCCTGATGGATCAACTGATATTCCAGAGAAACTGACTCACACTTCTAAACTGTGACACGACTCCACCATAATCTCTGTTACTGCGACACACAGAGGATTTAATCCAAGAACTGATTCCACACCAGACTGTGACTGTGAAAGGTTTTCTCTGTAAATCTGTGGACAGCTGATTTTGTGCTTTCAGTGTTGTAATTCCATTCATTGTGTTGGTGTAACTCACTGTGTTACTGATTATTCCTAACCAGCCACTCTGCAGGTCTAGTGAGTAAACTGAGTCGACTCATATTGATCAAAGTTTGAAGAGCAGCTGAAAGAAAGCTGGTTAACCCTAAAGGAGCTAACACAGGTTAACTAGTAGTTAACACAGATAAGAGTCAAACTAACTTGAACTGGACAGGGAGAGAGACATTTATTTATATTGTTGTTTTACTTTTATTTATTATTTATTTTGTTCTGGTTTTTGGATGCATAAATTAATGTAAACTGGAAAGTGTTTGTATATTTCCATGCCTTCTGTTTCCCAAAAACAAGTTCAAAGTTCACCCTGGTCTGTGGTCTGTTTTTTTAGGGCTGCTAGTTATAAACTGCTGGTGTGAACAAAGACTCTGGTCCTAGTTATCTGTAAATGTCTATGTAACCCATCGTTATTTTTATTGTCAATGTTTGTTTGTTTGTTTTTTTTAAGTTTTACTTTTTGTTAAGTTTAAGTTTTCCCATGTACCTTGAATGCACCGCAGCGCTGCTTCTAAGTAGGGATGGGTGTCGTTTAGGTTTTATCCGATACCGGTGCCAAATTGGTACTTTTGAAACGGTGCCGGTGCTTAAACGGTGCTCGAACTGGTGCTGAAGGAATGGAGAACACAAACTTTGTCCAAAAACCTCTTATGTTTTTACTTTTAGCAGTCTCTTTTTTTCTGCAAAATGATAAGCACCGTCCAACCCCACGCACGGGGCGATCTGCGCTAACTCGCTAATGGAGATTTACCACACCCGCAGTAGATGTGCTGCTCGGCGTGAGGTCTTGCAGCAAGCTATCAAATACGGTGCATTTCTCGGCTTTTAAAAAAACGCTATGCGTCACCAGGTGTTTCATCAGATTCGAGGTGTTACCTCCTTTGCACAGTATCACCTTAAAGCGCTTGTTGCAGGCTGCTGAGTTTGCATCTTTTGCTGTGAAGTACAGCCAGACTTTTGACCGCTTTGGCTTGGAAATTTTTAATCTGTAGCCAGTGTTGCCAACTCCTCAGTAAGGAAAATCGCTATTGGTTGTCCTAAAAGTCGCTAGAAGTCGCTAAATGGCGTCATCGCCTAATTTGCGTAATTGGTCATGCTAATCTAATTGTAACCTATGTTGTTGGAGAGAGAAATAACATCATGGAAGAGACATAAATTGAGTAAAAAACGTCCTAAATGCATTTAGAGTTTATTTAGAACTACAAATTAAATTTCTTTTAGCAATTATTGTTTTTTTTAATGTCACAATTCCAACCCTGCTCCTTTACCCGGGCTTGGACCGGCAAGTGACCCGAAATAGGCACTCTGGTGGAGTTACTTTGTGTGTGTGTGTTTATAAGTAGTTTTAAACCTTGTGATCCACAAAACAGCATAAGAGTAAAAGAGTAAAAGAAGAACTGACTGCGTTACAGCACCCACTGCTTATTGAGAGTAAAAGAGATACGTGCTTTCACGTCTTTTTTTAGCGACTTTCTTTAGAAAAAAAGTCGCTAAGGGGTCTGAAAACTCGCTAAATATAGCGACAAAGTCGCTAAGTTGGCAACACTGTCTGTAGCTCTGCTCTGGGCCCGCCTACTATCCTTGGAAAGGTAAAATGATCCAAAGTGTCTGACATCTCAAAAAAAAAAAAAAAAAAAAAGCTCCGAAAAAATGCACCGAAATGTGTGCTGTTGCTTTTCGGTCTGGTTACTACCGTTATATCGGTACCTATCCCTACTCCTAAGGCCGCTGTTCTCCTTATATGTGCTCCATATTGTCTGTGCAGTCAGAATATGATGTTTTGTTGGAAATGTGATTGTAGAAGCTGTTAACGATTTCTTAGCTGTGTTAGCCCTGTGAAAAGTATGCTAGCTACCCACATGTGCTCCCTGGGCTAATGCACTTGCATGAGAGGTTTTAGCTAACACACCATGTGAGACACTTTTCATGGTTCACTTGATTTGCACTGAAATGTATTTTTGTCGTTGATACATTGTTATTGGCCAGTAAGAACTGTATAGATGTATGATATGTAAAGACACTTAGAGGAATTTGATTTTACTTTTTTAAATTTATACAAATGGGATACAGGGAAGATTAGTTGGTAGAAATATCTCAAGTGATTGCTCTGCACATTTGTGTACAAGCTGGGTTTTTTTTTTAATGTGGTAGAAATCTGCTGCAAGGACCGAGCGGTGCCATCTAAGGACTGGATGCTACTGGAGATGTCTACAAAGGACGCTCTCAATCTGAAGGCCACCTGTTTCCTTGGAGGGTGGTAGGATACAACGATTTGCAAGGTTTTTTTTAAAAAAAAAAAAAGGATTCATTGTTTTTTACTGAGATCTCAGGACACTTTATGTTGCTACCTTATTTTTTTGGCTGATACCACTTAACCTAAACTGATGCATCAGGAAGGAGGAACTGTGACTAAAGACAATCCAAATAATGTGGAACACTTAGCAAATAGTGAATATTAAGTGCACTCAACTGAAATGGACAATGTACCTGATACACTTATGGACACTTAGAGTGATGGTATCCCATATGGAAAAGAAATAGTAAAAACTTATAAAAGTCTTGCATAAGATGTGGCCTACTTCATATAGTGAATCATATAAGGCTTATATGATTTACTCATGAAAGTGGCCACTTTCTCATTACTTTCATATATTGTTTTAGTAAGTATCCAAAACACACAAGTTTCTTTTATATAATTTTTCAAGGGATCTTATATCTGTTTTCACTCTTGTATGCTTTTCATACAAGTTTCACACAAGACAGATACAAACTTTATAAGATTTATATATATCTTTTCCATATGGGATTGGACATCTTGAAGTTCGAATCATTGAGGTGAACTAAATGTTTGAAATGATTTAAATGTTTTTTGTTCATGTCTTTGTTTCTGGGCAATTTAAATAGTTGAATACACTGAATTCACTTTTTTCCTTTAAGTCGTTGTCACTGTCTCATTTTGAGTGGAGGTTTTCTTCTCTAAGGCTACGTTCACGCTGCAGGTCTTAATGCTTAATTCCCATTTTTTGATCAAATCTGATTTTTTTTTTTTTGGTCTGGTTGTTCACACTAGAAATAAAATGTGACAGCAAACGCGCTCTAGTGTGAACGGTTCAAGGCCCTCAAAGCAGCCTGCATGCACAAAAGAAGACGTCACACACAAACGCGCTCTGTTTACGGAAGTAAAAATGGCGGCTACAGAGCTAGTAGTTGTTGTCGCAGCAGTCTATCAATTTCTGCACAGTTGAAACCGACAGAATTTTGACAAATTAATTAGAGAAAGAAGGACACTGAGAAAAAACAGAGCCCATGCTTTAACAATGGCCTTGTTTGGAGCAGTGGCTGCTACCTCCGCGCAGAGGTTTGTCTTCTCCGGCGCTGATAATTGGCATCTGTCTTGTGTCAGTGACGTAAAAGACTGATTTAATGTGACATGACCATTCACACAGCAGTCGCTTTCTAAAACATCAGATATGTATCGGATTCAGTACCACATACGAAAGTGACCTGGGTCGGATTTGAAAATATCGGATTTGTGCCGTTCAAACTGTCATACCATGATCGTATATGTGTCGCATAGGGTCAGAAAAGGTCAGATTTGATGCGCTTTGGCCTGCAGTGTGAACGTAACCTAAGTTAAGTTACCACTGCCAGTCTCCTTATGATCCTAACTGAACCCAACAAGAGTAAATTACAGATATTTATTTTTATCTGATCTTAGATGACAGATTACTGTGAATTTAAATAAATTATGACTACTCAGTTAAAAAGGGTGACATCTACAGTGCTACAAGATGACCTGAGAAGGAAACAAACACTTCCGAGTCTTTAAGTTGTGCAAATCCTAACAAGTCAAAAGATTTGTGGAAATTTATTTTTCTACATTTGCCAAAAAAAACTCTGTTAAGTGAAAAAGATGCAGTGTGTGTTTCTCATGAGACCAGACTCTTTAACTAAAACCTCTAAGATTCATTTAAAAACAGATAACATGTTAAAAACAACTGAAGTAACTGCATCATATGTTGGTGCAACAGGTAAAAAATAAAAATAAGACAAATGCAGAAGAGAAAATATTGGATGTAACTGTTGTTCTTAGTGGATGTGGTGGAGCAGCTGAAACAGGTTCAGCATTTGTTCTGCACTTCATGTATTAGAGCTGCACGGCAGAGAAGTTACTCTGATATGTTTTGTTCTCTTGAATGTGAATAAAAAGCTGCTTTTCATGTTTTTTGTTATCAGAATAAAAGAAAAATATTTTACTGAGCAGCACAAAAGAAGCAGCTACAAAGCTGCAAGAAAAACAAGAGTTTTCACTGATTTTGATGAAACAGATAATCTGGATGAAACATCTGCAACTTACATGATACAGTCAGTGTGATGGTATCACTCCACTCTGTTAACAAATAGTCCCTTGTGCCCCGGCAGCTGTATCCTCCACTGTCAGACTGAGTAGCACTGCTGATTCTGTATTCATTGGATGTTGGAGGTGTGTTTAACTTGGCTGGACTCCATTCATACGTCCACTGAGCTCCTTCAGCTCCCTGAGTCTCACATCTGACAGTGACTGTCTCACCGCTGTATATCTGAGTCCAGGATGGCTGCAGGGTCACAGTGGGCTTAATGGGAACTGTTCACATAAGAATGATCCAGTTAGGAGAAGAGAAACATGAAAACTCTGCTGTTTATAACATAAGAGTAGAGTCACTGCAAAACAGCTGATTCACAGACAAACAGTTTGAAGACTCAACATCAAAACAAAGTCACAATAAAACTATTTATAGCTTTCAAACTGTAACACAACATTTTTAGTAAAACGCACAAGTATTTACTTTGCACAGGTATCATCTTTTGTTCAGATTCCAGAAATTACAGATTATTTTTCATGAGTTGACAGCAGATTAAGAAGACTGGAAGAAATTATCGTGTGAGAAACGTTTTCTAAAAGTTCTGATGAGGTCATCATGTGAAACTGGTGCAGTTGCTGATTTGGGACATTGGAGTGTGTCACACTTGTAGTTATTGTATAACAAACAGGTTCTTGTGGCTCTAACTGATTTTCCATGAACTGAACCTTAAACCACTGTTGTTTGACTGGCCTTGTCTCCATTCATACGTCCACTGAGCTCCTTCACCTCCCTGAATCTCACATCTGACAGTGACTGTATCACCGCTGTATATCTGAGTCCAGGATGGCTGCAGGGTCACAGTGGGCTTAGGAGGAGCTGATCAAATAGAAAATATCCCATCATCGGACTTATAGAAATATGAAATGATCATTTAAAGCTGTCTCGGTTTTATTGCTCGTGTTAGTGGTAATCACATTTTTTCATTCTAGTGACAATTTGACTGAAAATCAACAATAAAGAGTTTAATAAAAAAAATCTGATTAAACCTGGTAATTTGCTGATATTTAGAATCTACCAGCAGAGTGACTGGAAACAACCAGGTGTGCACAAAACTAAACTGTGAGACTGAACATCAACACACAATATCATGTAAACAACTTCAGTCTCTCAGATTTTACATTGTATAAATAATTTTTATGGTCAAATCTCCCAATGTTTACTTATTTCTACATGTTCACATTTGCATATTTGTACATTTATGAACATATAATCCAGAGTTGTCAGTTGGCTGTTATCCTTCTGAATAACCTGAGATCTTAGTTTCTAAGGAGGCTCAGATCCTTTAATGTGTGGAGCAAGATGTAGGAGATTTTCTACCAGTCTGTGGTGACAAGTGTGTCTATTTTACTGTTGGTTGTCTGCTGGGGGGCCACACTTCAGAGGCAGAGCTCCTCCGACTGATTCAACCATGCTGCCATAAAGAACACTTTAATAAATCATCCATACTGTTCTCTATAAAGCTGTATAATAACCCTTCATTCTGTGACAGGTGAACGCACCAGTCAGGCATAAAATCCCAAACACCTTATTTTTAATAATGTCATTTACATTTCTGTCTTACACAATATGAGCCTTTACTGTTTTTAACAAACTTTATTTTTACTGTTTTTTTTTCACTGTAAATATAAAAATTCCTGTGCTGTCTCATAGTGTAAGGTCCCACATCAGGCACCGTTGGGACTTTTATTTTATTGTCACACTTTGTTGTTTATTGTAGACTTTACTACTTTCACTTTTTATCATGCTGCTCTAACACATCTGATGGGTTTAGATTTTATTATTGTCATTTGTATTAGGAAACATTTAACCATTGTGGGGATAAACAAAAAGTATTTTACCAGCATAATATAATCTGCAGTATGAGCATTGCTTTAACAATATAACAGATAGCTTTAAGATGGCCTTAAGATGTTTATGATGATGTTAACTTTGTATTTCAGGGGCAGTTATAATTATTTTATACATATTGCATATCTGAGCTTATTTGAGTTGATGTTCAGGTTCTTTAAAGGTCGTAAGCTTCACTGACGTGACTGTTCAGGTGATACATGCTGAGGGAAAACTAGAACATAGAAGGAATTGCAATACATGCTTACAAAACACTTATATCAGTTTATTTTATTATCTTTTATATGTTCATATTCTTGTATTAAGGTTTTAGTAGAGGTTCTTGGTTAAAACATTTATTTAGTAGAAGACATACACATAGTCTTAGTGAGCTTCTGGCCTGGTAAAAGGTCAGAAGTGCAACAGGTGAATTGAGAAAGAGCATTTGAGGACGAGACACAGACAGTAGGTGAAGAGGTGACACAAAGAGCATGTGAGGTCAACACACACACACACACACACACTTTAAATTAGATTTATTTAGAGGAAGAGGTTAGTTATGTTTGGCTGTAACTGCAAAATTGTCTTGGTAAAAGAGGAACCGTTTCTTGGTGTCTCGGCAAGAAAGAGGAACAAGACAAGAACTGAAAGGTAGACAGGAAGGGCTAGCCATGAAATAGAAGATGATTTTCTAGGTGAAAAGTCATGATGATGTTGATCTGATCTATGTATAAAATGTATCTGTGACGCATGAAGGGGCGTCAGTAAATAAACCCTGATGCTATAAAATAATTGTTTGTGCTTTAGTAAGTCGAAGATCAATTGCTGTGTTCAGTGATCTTCCCACATGTGAATTAAAATCTTCGTTTGACTTCACCCGGCCGGACCAGTGTGGTTATTTTTCGATCACCTCTTGTACCCTTTCTCAATTCTTGAATCTTAACATCTGGGGGCTTCGTCCGGTGGTTGAGTAAGGGAAAAAAGTGGAGGTGTGAGCGGTGGTCCGAGGTGGTCAGACGGGCAGACATGAAGTCCAGTGGCCGAAGTGAGTGGGCATAAGCCGGCTTATCCAAAAGGTAAGGCACTACCTGTTGAATTATTTCCAAAGTGTGCCAAATTGGACATGATAAAATTTAAGTCTACTCACTGAAATTACTGGTGGATGTCTGTTTTTGATTTTGATGAAAATTTCATGAGTTGAAACAGTTAGAGTTCTGCTAAGAAGAAATGAAAGCAGTAAAGTCTGCTAAAGCAGTTTGAGTCTGCCAGGAAAAAGTTTAAATATTGGGTTGAAGTCCCAAAGAAATTGAGTTAGAGTCTCAAGTAGTTTGGTAGGGAATTGGTTATTGTGTTGGTTAGAGTCCAAATTTGGTCATAAGAGTGGACCTGAGCGGTCATTTTGTGAGTTGGAGTCTCCATTTGACCACTAGGTTGCACCTACTTCAGTTATACACTTGTTTCGGGTGTTGATTGTTGTTTCAAAATATTATAAATTATTCTAGAACGGCAGTTCGAGTCTGCTAGGAAGCGCAGAGCCCGGAGGTTACGCTCCCTCCTTGTCGTGGACGCGCGACATTGACCTCTCGGCGAAGAGGGTTAGTTCAGTGTGGTTTAGCTGTGGGGTACAGGGCATCCCGGAATTAAGCTAGGAGTTAGAGTCTCCTTACCGTTTGCAACGGTATCTGCGCTTTTTTGGCCAGCAGAAGTGGTCTTCGGGCGTGTAACTTTAACTTAACACTTCGGGGTAAGCCTTGGCTGTGAAATGCCAAAAATAGAGCTTCAGGCAAAGTTTGGGTTGGTTGACGCTTTTAAATTGAGTTAGGGATTTTAGAAATGAGGCCAGAAACAGTTAAAGTCTTGATACTGGTTAATTGATCGCAAAAAACGGTTATGTTAAATTTGTCGAAATTCGATAGGTGTTAAAAGGTTTAAAATCTGTGCAGTTGTAAATATAAGACGTCTCTGTATTAAAAAGATCTCTGTGGGTCGAGTCAGCAATGCACTGACTGCCTGCTGCTATTCTTAGATGAAGAGTGTGTGTGCATGCAAATGAGGCAGCTGATGCAGAGCGCATGAGAGGACTATGCTTTCGGGTTTGTGTGTCATTCAGCTCTATAACTATTGTTTGCAAATGTGGATAAATGTCTGCAATTAAAATGCTGGCTTAGTAAATAACAACATTGTAAATATATGAATGGTGACAGCGTTTCAAAATAGAATATAAGAATTGTTTGTGTTTAAAACCAACGTTTAGGTAAAGAAGATTTAAGGTGGATTTGAAGGCATAAACAAAAAATAAAAGGGTTACAGTCTGCAAGGGTTGTTAATTCATGAGCTGACTGGATGCAGAGTAAGTGGAGTGGTCATCCGGAGAGGATTGAATGATGCTCTAACTCTGTGGTCAAGTCAGACATAGGCTTTAAGCAACCATGAGCCACTAATAAGCGTGACAAATTAATGAGTATGTGTAAATTGAACTTGTTAAATAGTTTTGATAGGAGTAACTTAATGAGCACGCAATAAAGTGGACTTTTTAGGGGCAGTTTATCACTGACACCATAAAAAGCAACTTAATTAGTCGTTCAATAACAAATTGTAAAGATAACCTTTGTTATTTGAAGAGAGAGAAAATTCAGGTTACATATAGTGAATAAATAAGGAAATGTTAATCTCTGCGTCATTCCACACTGAAATTTCAATTGTAGGGGATCATTTGGAGGTGAATTGTGTAGGACACGGGGAGACAGGAGTTTTCAGTGTGCATAGAAATTGAGGAGGCTGAACTGGAAGTCTGCCTGGGTCGTTGTTTTTGTTTATTTGAGGGTCTGCTGGAAGTTTGTGAAAACGACCACCTTGATATGTGGGAGCCTTCTCGGGCAGCGATTTTTTTGTTAAACCTGTGGCAGGCTGTGCAACATGGAGAAAGCTTTGACATAATGTCATAAAGGTGATTTCTAGGTTTTAGACTTATTAGTACGGGACAAGTTGAGGGACCCTTGAGGGTGTGTTGCTGTAAAGTATATAAGGGACGCGCAGCGCCGTTAATGGGTTTAAAATAAATGAAAACACACTAATCCGAGGAACTATTGGAGAGGTAAGTATACGGAGGTGAGCGCGTTGCGCATAAGGGTTGCTGGTGTCATATATTAACACTTTGAGGGCGAATAATTTTGATTGAGTGTCAACGCTTGAGAACGCGAGGACAGCGTCTAAAAGTGCTGGGTTAAACTTTGTGTATCACCGAGCAGGGGAAGAGGAGCCAGTGGTTGCGAGAACAGCGAGACGAAGACTGAAACCGAAAGTTAAGCGTGTCTGGGTGACCTAGACCAAGAAGGTGGAGTCGACCAACGCCATTGGAAGAGGTAAGTCTGTGTTCAGAGAATGGCTGACAGCTCGGGTGCGACACCTAGTGGGAAAAGGGGATGCAAACCTCTGAAGGATCAGCTCGAACAGCTTAAGAAAGCTATTCATTTGGCTTCACCTGGAGCATTAAAAGCAGCAGAGAAAGAGTGCCAAGCGATGGAGGTTGAGGTAAGCAAACTTATTACATCTCAAACAGAAAGGGCTGGGGTTGATAATAATGAGCTCTGAGCTTGGTGTTAAAAACTGAAGGAGAAGTGTACGGACGAATGCATGAGGCCCTACGTGCGTCCATAGAGGCATTAACGGCATTGGAGGTTATAAAGCAGAGAATAATGCAGGGAGGGCCAGAAGAGGAGAATGAAGACCGTGCGACGTCATCAGAAGAAGAAGACGATGAGGAGGACGAAGATGGAGGAGCTGAACCTCAACCAAGTACAAGCCTAATTTTGAGGAAAAGAAGTGTGAAGAGAGACCAAGCACAGAGACGGCCCATATTTAAGAGCTCAAAGAGTAGAAAAGTGAGTTTTGAACAAGGAGCTCCTGACCCTGGTTTAAGTCTGCCTCTAATAGCAGGTCCAAAGAACGAACCAGTTTATCGCGCCTATAAGGTGAGAGATTTGGAAGCATTGGTTAAACAACTTCCACCAATAACCAAGGGAGAACATTGGGAAGGAGAAGAATTAGCGCTGGGCGACTTTCGCGCTTTGGCCGGACGTTGTATGCTGGGTGGTGGGTTAGCAGATGTAGAGCAGATAGCTCAAACAACCAGATATGCAAATGACCTGAAATATCATGAGGTGCAGAGTGACTTAGCAGATGCAGTTCGGGAGAAGGACCCAACTCCTAACTTTGGAGCCATTCCAAAAATTATTTGGGATCCTAAAAACACACCCAGAGAGTGTTTAGCTAAAGCAAAGGAACAATGGTTGTTAGGAACAGGAATACATCCGGGGAAGGAGGGTGAAAGTAGAGCGTGGTTTCGTTCGGCAGTGCTGGCAGGGCTGCCCAACCAGGTTGCAGTTGACTTGGAAAAGAACCCAGATTTTGCCGTTGCAGACTCGGTGCAGTGGGAGAGACATGTGACCCACAGACTTCAGCAGGAACAGGATTTGGCAAACAAACAAAAGAAAGAGTTGGAGGAAGCCCAGGCGTGGCTGGTCAAGTTGCAGCTGGCAGAAGCAAAAAACAAAGCAGGAGACAGAAAGAAAGAGGATAAAGAGAGCGCAAGGAAAATAATGGTGGTAAGGTCTCAGCCCGATCCTGTGCCTGACTGGCCAGATCAGGATCCGGGTCTCTACCCTGATGATCGTTGGCCCGCCAATGCACCAAGGCAGCGTCAACCCGTAGGGTATTGGGGGACCGGTGGACCGCAGAGAGGGCGTGGTGGATCCGTGAGGGGAGGACAAAGGGCTCGGAATCCGGGGAATCCTGGCAGTGTGTCTTGGACTGGCTGTTACAGCTGTGGAGCAGAAGGACACTGGTCCCGAGAATGCCCTGAATCGCAGCGAAATTATCAGAGGCGAGGCTATCAACCCCAGGCACGAGGAGGCCCAAGACAAAGAGTTGCTTACAGGGGAGCACATCAAGCTCCAAACCCGAATGCAGCACCAGCCCCCAGTACCCAGTAGCGACTGGGGCTGGGAGGGGGAGCAATACTGATGGAGCCCGGAGAAACTGAACAGCGTGGGGACGGCAGAACCTATGCTGTCAATGATGATGATCCAGCATTGACACAGCTGGGAAAACAGACTTTGAAGCACCAATATGTGGTGTCTTGACAGGTGCCTGGAAAATCTCATGGGCAGGGACCTGCTTGTGAAACTGGGATCACCTTCAAAGACTCAATATTTAGTCCAGAACTCTGAACAACCCACTGCCGAAATTTACTGGGGGAGGCTAGTGGAAGAAGGCATTCTGAGACATTATCAGCTGTGGAAACCCTGGATAATGAGCCTGGCCGTCTATTCCCCACCGCGAGATCCTTTCCACGTTACACTCTTTTATGATAGGGAAGATAACGATATCTATCGGGAACAGTTCCAGTCTGATCTTGAGGGACAGACGTGGAATGTGCAAACACATAACATTTATGTTGGACCAGAAGGTGTGGCCGCGGCTGTGAAATTTACTGATGAACAACTGCCTTGGTACAATGTGGGAGAGGATTCAGCCCCTCACATTACATTGGCGGTCCACGAGGGTCATGGGCCAAGAGATCTGGGACCAATGGTCAAGCGGGCGCTGGACAACGCATGCTGGCAAAGCACCCAAATTCCAAACGTTTGGTATGCACCAAAATGTAAAATATATCGCATAACTTGTTTGTCCAACGATGCAGTGATCTTAGAACATAAAGAAATCTCCAGAATACATGGCAGGGAAAGAATGGATCATCCTGATGCAGTAGCTGAGCTCTCAAAATTGCCTGGTACTTTGTGGTCCGCAGGGCCCACAGATGTAGGTCTAGCTAACTGTTCGCCTGTCCTGTTCCAGCTGAAGTCTGACATACCATTTAACAGACCATAATAGAAGCACAAAACTGAAGACCAAAAGTGGTTCACATGTATTGACCTAGCGAATGCATTCTTTTGTCTCCCACTGCACGAGTCACTCAGAGACATTTTCTCATTCACATACAGAGAGCTGAAGTGATAGCCCTAACTCG